TCATAGGCGAGAACCAATCAAAATGCGAGAATAACTTGGGTTATTATATAATCTGTGATAGATAGTGAGTGGTGTAGCAAGTGTGCCCTTGTTAACAAAATGACGGCCGCTTCTTGGCGTTTCCGAAGTGTCTGAAGAGGATTTTGATAAAGTATTGAACGACTAGTAGATTTATACTAAAACAATTAGATTATTCTCTCTCGATTTCTATGCGTGATAGTTGACTAGAAATCTCGAGCTGATAATCTAATATTTGTTAATAGAAACACGATTTTTAACCAATCAGTGCGCGTATTTTCTTAGGACTGTTTTCTAAAGAATATTAGACAATAAATAATTAATGACAGAAAGGGTGCACTTACCTAGTGTAGCAGTCTTGTCTCCCAAAGTTATCAAGGAAGAAACGTAACATTTGTCATCAGACATTTTTACGGCTCCCAGTTTAACAGAAATCGGAGGTTATACCTGATATCGGCCTGGTCATTATCCCATATAATTATCTTGTGACCAATAGCTCTGATAATCCACCAAATATTCTCCCTCGTGCGGGATTGGTCTAAACGTATCACGCGACTGAATATGCCCCAGCTAAAACTAGGAAATATCCGGCTGAATATTTCCCGGTTTTCAAAAGTGTGCGTGTTGTGAAAACTATTTGAAGGATAATAAGCCAATACCCTGTATTTGACTTGAAAAATATGTTCGAATGGTTGTCCTTGGACAGTCTGTTCCTCAAGGCTGACAGTTTTCCACGAGCTTCGCTCTCAAAAGGCTGTTCGCTTCCGGGAACAGATTATGTCCGCGGAAAAATATCCGAGCATATTTTTGCGCCAAATGGAGGCTGTCTATACATTATTAAAAACTGGATCACTGGATGATGCAGTTCAAGAGTTTTCATTGGCTTAGTCATCATGGTATATGAGCCATTACACCATGCTCCACAAATATGGTAAGCGTACGCGGGGGTTTGGGGGCATTTTTATCTTTATTGCGAGCCGCATCTTGGACTCGAACTCCGAAGAGGTTTGGGGAGAGACGAAATAGCGGCCTAGGGAGTAGCAGTGAGGCTGAAAGGGCGCCCCCACCCACTTTTCCTAAGCCAACGTGGCAGCGAAACTGCTCGATCCTGATAACTTAAACGCCTGCCCTGTAGGCTAAGTATCAATCTGCCCTCATAACTAGTCTTTTTAATGATAACAAAAAGATGGCAATTTCAGTTTTATTGTTTTTTATGACTGCACATGACTGTTTTAAGTCCCTACACCACTTGCATACAAAAGTTAATAATAACTTCGTTACCGTTGCTTCTCCAACAAATCGGCCGTCTGTTAAGACGTTTCAGTTTTAAATAATTAATTAATGTTATTGAAAACGCCCTTTTAGGACTTGAAAGTTTAAATTCTACCTTCTTACTCGCCTTGGCATATCAGGTAAACTTAGACTCACTTTTATAAAAAAAACATACGATTTTCTAATAACCACTAACCTAACGATAAACTATTTATCATAAATATTAATTAAAAGAATAAAATGATTACACACCTTGATAAAAAGGCTCACACAAGATAAAATGAACTTAGTTCTCATTACAGTCACGCATGTGGATGTCTTTCTCCTGAATGACTTTGAAAATCTTCCCCCATTCAAAGCATTCATAGAGACGACGGCGCATCGTGCGCCGGAAAAGGTTTGCTCCATTGTGCTGTGTCCTTTATAGTGCGACTACTCGAGCCAGGCCACTTAAAAGAGTTAACCAATCAGAACGTTACTTGAGAACAAACGATAGCGATCTTTTTTGCACATAAACCAATAACATTGAAGAATGTGAACTATAGATCTTAACAAAATTGAAAACTCAACAAAGTGCGAGGTGTTTCGAACCTCTCAGGAAACCTTGCCATTTGATTGGTTAGTTTCGATCCTACATTTTGTACGCTTTTCGACGGTTTCGGTTTAGTTGTCGCAAAATGAGTTTTCAAGCTTAATTTATGATTGTGATAATTCACCGTCAAGGACTGAATCTCTAAGAGTGTATATAACGCAGAGGAGTTGATAGTGCTTGTGTTTTCAGGTCAAACAGACCGTTACTTGCCGTCACGAGAAACTACCAGTCCATTGGTCTAAGTATACTTTTTGATTGGTTCGTGTTCTTCTAGGTGGCCCGGCTCGAGTAGTCGCACGGTAAAATTATTTCATACACTTCACAAATACAGTCCTGTCATATCATTCATATCATTCTTGGATGACCACTGAAGCTGGAAAAATGTTCCGTGATTCCTAATTGTCTATTTGCTTAATTTCTTTTTGAACTTGAGAGTGGAGAACCAGCTCCGAGTTTCGTCTATAAATTTGGCGCAGTTATCTGTGATGTTTAAACGTGGCGCTTTCGAAAACGCTGAGTTTGGAAAAGGATCATTTTGTAAAAAAACAATGATGATCGCATAACGAAGCGATCGCCACTACGTCTTCGCTAACTTCAGTATTATATCAGCACCTGGAAAACTAGTGCAAGAAAATTCTGGCAGAACTTACACGCTTAAGGTATTTTCTTCCTGGTCCGACTTTGCATATTGGCTCTGAAACTTGCTTTTGACTAATCAAAACCCCAGAATTCTCTGTTTCCAATTGGAAACTTTAATCTCTTCTAAAAACAATGCTTGAACTTTCTCTAGCGAAAAGCCAGTTAAAATTTCGCTACGTCATGGCAAAGTAGTTTAGTTTTCGCATCTACTGGTGCTTAAAATTCGCTTGAATTTTTCCGGCAAATGAATTCTGCAAGGATCACAGACTGCAAGTGGCTGTTATAAAAGAATCTTCCCGTCACAGCTGGTCAACACGTGATTTAAGGTGGAGGGGGCAGGTCATCAGATCGAGGCTGACCTATGGCATACTGCTGTAGAATTTCAGGGGCGGCTTTGTAAGCGGTTGGAATGTGCAAAACAATAATCTTGTCTTTATCGAGCTCAAAATGCACGAAGTCTTCTCTGTTCAGAAGAGTTGGGTCTTCCTCTACGCCTGAACTCGTATCCACTGTATGTGTTGTCGACAAAAACAGTGAGTCCGATGAACAAGAATCCGCTTTCACGAAGTCCTGTTTTCTGCACTCCACGGCCGTGTTCCTGTAATGGGCCAAGGAAACGTTCTCACTCTCACAAACTAAATTTCCTCTCTCACTGTCTTTCTTGACGTCCTCTAAAGTTTTCAGCTTAGCGCAAGAGCGACTTTGATCGGAATCATCAATAGCACCGACCTCTTTCAAAGGAATAATGTTGTCGCTCTGCCTTTGGTTTGGTTCAGAGCTTTTATCAACAACCGCCGCCGCCTGTTTTGAAAGGCTGTTGACCTTCACACAGCTTTCAGTAGTCAAAATGTTCTCCATTTTGTCGCCTGGGTCTTGAGAATCTTTTGATTTGCTAAAAGGCTTGGTTATCTCATCAAGGACTGACGCAAGCTGCTTGAGATTTAGAATTGGTCTTCCGTTGACTTTGAACAGCTGTAAATTTGCCATTGTCTCGTAGCCAGTGGTTAACTCAGAGGCGAGAACCTGAAAGTTAATCACACAAGAGCCGTCAGTATTTTCTTTCATTCCATTTCGGGACCACTTTTTTGGATGCATGAAGATAACGAATTGACAGTTTCCATCAGATAGACTATAACCTGTTATAAAATAACTGAGATACTACGCGCGCGCTCACTGGTCGATAGGTGTGTTTAGACGAGAGTATATAGAAACGGTTGTGTCGTTTTTGATTCGGGCGTATTTTTGAGGAAAATTTTTATAAGCATTTTAGCACTTTTTTCGTGTTTATATAGCCTCATCTAAACTCTCGGAAGGCTGACTGGGTCTCGAGTTTGCATAACTGTCTCGAATTCTCCCAACCTCCCTTGTGTTTAGACGGGGCTATGTAGACACGGAAAAAGCACTCTTTCGCAAAATCATCCTTCTTGCTTGCTTGCTGTCCACGCTTGTTACATGTAAACAAATATGACATCAGACATTTGTAAATGAATTATTCACCTGACTCAGTAGAATGACTTCCTGCCCAGTTTGATTCAAAATGCCATAGAGAACACGATCGCAGAGTCTTATAGGTGCCTTTCGAGCCCAGTCCTTGCCGTATTGATGTTGCATGTAGGGCTGGGATAGAGACACAAACACCAGGCCGGCATATACCAGATAACTAGAGAAAAAAATAAAAGCACAACGGTTACTAGGCGCAAGTCAAATTATAAAACAGAGATCGTACATCATTTCGCGTGTTTTTCTACGCCATTCTGACAAAGATTAAGTGCAGAAACATTGTGTTCCTTTGCGTTTTATCTGTATTTTCACAGGCAGAGCTGTTTAGTTTGTCCACTGACCCTCTATTTGGCTTGAGTTTGTCGAGATCACAAGCTTAGCGAAAGATTAACCCAGCGCGTGAGAAACACGCGCTAAAACGCAAGGGGGTGGGTTTTCGGAAAGATCAACAGACAGACTAGAGCTGTTTGACTGTCAGATCTTCCGGCAAGTAAGCCTTAAGCGAAAAACGTATGTTTCGCTTGATGTTTCAAGCTGCGAAAACAACAGGTGCAAAACAGGCTGCTTCCACAGTCTACTAGTCTACTAGTAATATGAATATGTATTACCTGGGCCTCTTGTCGTAAAGTTGAGTTGGAACAAGCGATGTTATCAAGTCCAGCTTAACTTCAACCTCCATAACATGACCTTGTCTTAAAATCTTCAACTTACAGATGTCGCCGATGAACATTTGTGACAGTTTGTAATCAAATAAGATGCGCTCGTTTCCTCGAAAATGCACCTAAACAAAACAAATTCAAGACAGAAACAAAACTGATTATGTTGACTTGGGTAGCGCTTTGAAAACATTGAAATATAGTGAGCAAGTGGAAGAGAAGAGAAGAGATCAGGAGCAGAACCAGAAAATTCATTTAGGAGGGGCCAAAAAAATTGCGCCGGAACGCAAGCTATCCCCCCGCACCCCCTCCATCCCCCCAGCTGAATGAAAAATTCCGCTCTAAAGACAATTGATCTATCTTTTTCGCAAATACAACTAAAAAGGGAGGTCGTGACCCATTTGCCCCCTCTCCGCTAAATCTGCTTCTGGAGATAAGACACTAGCAATTGTAGTGCCAGTGCGTAGTACATAACCGAAAATTCAAATTACATGTAGTTTGCTGCCAAGGTTTTGAAAGTAATATACAGTCCCACCAAAAAGGATTGCCATTCTAATGAATTTAGGCCGTAATTACGTATTTTGTTTGACATAGTTTTTGGTGATTTTTATAGCATAGGTTCACAGCCAAACAGAACCAAACCTAACTACTGTTATGAACAATTCACAGAAAAATGCTCTTAATTATCTGACTCTTACTGTTCATTGCATCTACGTCCTGATTTCCTTACCGTTCCATTATCTGCGATCACTTCTTTATCTACAGCCATGAGAACATCTCCTCGTTTTAACACACTGCTGCAGCTGAATAGTGGAAGCACCTTTGTAACGAGAACTCCCGTCTGTTCCATTGACAGCTGAAAGTAATTCCTCATGTGCTCGCTTTCAATTGGCTGCCATTTGATTCCAAGCCGACAAAAACCATTATACATGTCGCTTTTTTCAATATCGCCCAAGAAATGTCTTATTACTGTCACCTGTCAAAGACATTAAATAGAGCGTTATTGCACCATTGATATCATTTCCTTATGAAGAAAGATGGAAATTGTAGAAAAACCTGAAGGAAATGTAAGATCAGCCCAGTGGGGTTGCCCTGGAGACTGGTTATATATTAAAGTATGTGGCGTATATGAGTACTAGTGACCAATGTCTGATTGTCAGTCAATCTGTCTCCAAGAAGAAAAGATGATTTACAAAGAGGGTCTATTATACTCTGGGATTTAAGCCAATTTTAAGTGCCAGTTTGCGGGCACATTCACATTTTATCTTCCATTTTACGGTTAAAAAATTACCGCACAGTTGTGGGAAACAATAAACTTAGCTTGTGGTTTTCCGCTTTTGTGTGTTTTTTGGGTCATTCAAACAGAGTAACGAGAGCCCTCAAAAGCTTGTACTTTTTCACCCCATGGTAAACATCTTGAGCAATCTTTGTGTTAGTGAACAGTCCATTAGACATCAACTTTTTTGTTCCCTGTCAATGCATGGAGTTAGAAACAATTTGTTCTGTTCTTAAGATCTCATGGTCTTTGTGAGTCAGAAGAAATTGTAGAGTGTCCTGTTAAAAGAAAGGTTACATGTATGATGATAATCGTCCTACTAGTTTGAATTTTTAGAAGAAAACGATAGTGGTCTGCTGTTTTGAAGAACAAAATATGGCAGTTTACAGAATGAACAATCCCCTATAATAGATCCTCTACAAAGCATGTATTAGAAATACTTACAGGTATAATGTATCCTATGTTCTCAGCATTATCCAGAGTCTCAAAAGCAATCCCAATTACTTTGTCATCCTGGAGGGCAGGGCCACCACTGTTACCACTATTTATTGCCGCGTCAATCTGTTTGAAGTAAAGAACACCACTTGAAGATGGTAGCTGAATGAATGAATAGTTAGTCAAAAACTAAGCAAAGTGGAAAATTCCTGTTTCTTGTGACATGGACTACATAAGTATTAGCCTGCATAGCAGCCGTTCAAAGGGCAGGATCAGGTACACAAGTTTACAAAGTCATATACTTATATCAAAAAGTTGTGATTTCATCATTTCATTGGGGATATACCACAGTGAAAACCAGCTGGCCCTTGCAATAACAACTCAGCACTCCTATTGACTAATATTTACTGATCAATTTCCTTTTCACACTTTAGAGGGATGCACAGTGTACTCAATGCAGCACTTGACGTTTTGACCGCTGTATGCCCCTAACAGCCAGGAATTTCTTTAACAAAAGATTCCCGAAGGTTTGTTTCTCAAATATCTATTGAATAAATTACATAAGTGTAAGGTGTGGTAACACCAGCCAACATCTTCACCTGTAACATTGAGTGAACCCAGCCATACCAGATATTATGGCTACAGCTCTTATCAACAGTCCTGACATATCACTACAAAGTAACAAATGTAGTGTACATCCCAGAGGGAGAAGTACTAACTTTTATGAGCTTGGGACACTAAGGATAATCTGTACAAATAGCTAATTTGTGTATCTTGTACCTGAATGGCTAGCAGTTCTACAGCAGAGTGTGCATAGCGCTGAATTTCGACTCTGGATACCACGCCTCGTGTAACACTGATGTTGTCTCCACCAGTCGGGAAACCAACGCAAACCACATCCTCTTCAAGGGCAGGGATCTCGCCAAACTCCAGTGGACATAGATCCTCCCAGAAGGTCTCATCTGCCACACCCAGCTATCAAGATACAGGAGAATGTGTCAAGTAAATGATCAGCTATTTTAAAACTATAGCTTTTAAAATTGAATGTGTTTGAAACAACATCTATCCACAGAGTTCTACACAGATTACCATAATTTAGCTGACCAGGGTGTCAGGGTGCCTAGTAAACAAAATCAAGTTGCATGACAAGACTAATCTTGAGCAACACATAATTGCAACCACAATAGAAGGCCTTTAAGTTAAAGTAAAATATTTTCCACTATGAAGGAGTTCCTTTTTCAAAAAATATTCCTACTTTTTCGTTGTGTTTAATTCAGTTAAAATGTGCAGGTTGAAAAAATATTTCTTCATAAACTGTGTTAAGGTTTGCAAAGTCTCGGAAGTTATCCACAAAAATCACAATTCATCCGAAAGTGTTTTTGTGAAATTGCAGACAAATATAATTTGATCAAAGGAGAAAATTGAGGAAAGTGAGAAATTTCTTGTTTGTTTTGAAAAGTAAATAGCCCGAAAAGTTTTACTATAAGAATCTCTGCAACCAATAAATTTTAATATTTAAGCAAATCTTAAGCATTTTGGACAATTGTGTGTTATTGTGCAGGTTTGACTGAATTGTGCAAATCCCACACACCTTCACCTTGTCAGAAGGCCGGCATTAGATAATGTATACATGCATATTTCAATAGAGCATTAAATTGAACAATTCCTTATAGTATAAAAATGCATTCATGTCCAAGTCTACAGAAGATATCATGAATCACAGCTTTGCCTTGCCCTGTTCAATTTTGCACAATTTTTATCTTTGACCCAATATCAAAGTAAGGGTCCAGAGGATGATTTATAACCAAATTATGTAGAAATTAATTGACACAGCAAATGGTTACCATGGCAATGTCACACTCATGACCAACATGAATCACATGAGCATTGTACTTCTTGGCATCTCCATGCTTGCGCACTCGCACCTGTAAAGGAGGCATGCTACCATAAGAGTAATAGCCACTGCAACCAACAATGCAACTAAAATAATGTAAATAGCAGCTGAGAATATTACAGTCAGACTGGATGTTCTTTTCCACCTTACTTTGCAGTGCTGCAGTGCAGAGAGACAAGACTGACTGAAAATTTATTCAACCAACTTGCAATTCAACTAACTTGCAAGTTGTTCATCCCATAAGCAACTTACCAAGTTTCATTCTGAAGTTTGAAAAATCTCCCTTAAATTGTAAGTTTTTGTTACTATAATATAACCAATACTTTTGCTAATTTTCTGACAAGTGCTAGAATATGATCATTTATTGCCCTATCGCTGAGTGTTTGTCAACAGACTGCAAGGAATGAGTAACAGGTTGAATTCAAATGGCCATGAAAAGGAAATTGCATTTCAAAATAATACTGAAAGTAACTCACAGAACAACTTTGAATTTTGAATCCTGGTATTGACCAGTTTAGCAAGCGAACTTTGGCTTAATTTGACTTAACCTGGCTGACGTTTTAAGTCTTCAAAAAAACTTACAATGGTTCAAAAGGAGAAAAATAGTGTAGTTTATATAAGTGCCAATACCCCCCAAAATAAACACCAGGGCCGAGTCGTTCAAAGCCCAATTAAGCAAATCCAAGATTAGCGAGACTTTCGAGTTTATTTTCTTTGTAACTTTTCAGTGAGGTTTTCTGTTTAATATTATATTGTTTGTCCATTAGTCTTGAGTTTGAATAATCACAAACTTCACAAAACATAGGCATCGAAAAACATTTTTATACGAGAAAAATTAACACTTCAGTTAACTTTTAATCCTGGATTAACTGGCATTGACCGGCTTTTGAACAACCCGGCCCAGGGGCCTGTTTCTCGAAAGCCACGGAAACTTATCGGGCCTGCAAAGCCATTTTTAATCAATCTGTATCTAAAACCAGAGAGGAGTAGACATCTGAAACTTTTTGTATGAAGGGAACCTCTGTTCATATACTAAGAATATGTGAATAAAACAGCTCTGTAATGTAAGGTTCGAGATTTTGCTACGGCTTTCCAGGTGTGAAAACATTTCAGGACCTTCGAGAAATGGGTCCCAGGTCTCTAAGTTGACTTTATAAATAAAAGTTACATATTAACATCCTGGCACTTGATCAAGAAAATGAGATACATCAATAGATGAAACGAAAGATAATTTACATGGGCATGCAGTTGCAGAGGTTTCATTAACATTTCTGGCAGGGATGTGACTGGTTTTCACAGGTGGGCAAAAGTTTTTGAACTGAACTTCCTTGTAAGAAAAGCTTTCGTCTAGATGGTGAAACCAGGCAGGCAAAATCATCCTCACAGCTGGGCAATTTGTCTGGTGTCTGGCCCTTAATGAAATGCCTGCAGTTGTTTACTTACAGATTTCTGGTATGCTACCACATGTCCATTTGTAAGAATTCTTCTTCCAGAAATAACAAAGCCTGAACCAAACACCTGCTGTTGACGCTTCATCTGCCACGGCATACTGTAGTTAGGAGTTGAAATCTGAACAAACAGCTTCACTACTGATTTCAGCACCTGAAGAAAAACCCTTACTCAGTTGAACACTGAAAAATGCCTGAGATAATGTTAGGGGTGGCGATTAGTCCTTCAAAAACCATGGGTCTTGCAAACTTTTCATCAAATTTGACGGGTCTCACTGTCTTGTTTTTTTCAGCAGTTATGTGAATCTTGCAGTTTTGATTTTTTCACAAAGCTGTCTCTCAGTCTAAATTTTTTGCAAGGCTAGAAAGTCTCAAAGTACCGATTTGTTTGTTTGTTTTATATATGTACAGATATATTATTGACATCTGGACGTCTTAGCACCTGAACATCTTGAGCTTTCAGTTAAAACACTTTGAAGTTTCGGTCTTGCAATTGAAGAGGTCAAAATATCTCGTGCTCACTAAGAAATATGCAAGTCTCATCATCTGGCATGGTCTTGCATTTACCATTCACCACCCCTTATATACGTAATCTTATGAGCAACTTTTAGTCTTCATGAAAATACACAAATCAGCTGAAGGAAAAATCTCCACTTTTGTGTACAAGTATATGTTTTGAACATATGATCAAAATCTGACAAATTGTACGTTCTTATCAGAGATCACGATTGGGCACCTGAAATAGAAGCTTTCATTTAGCAATCAAGAGTTTGGTTTCCAATTGAAAGTTTGATTGTGTTTGACTCAAACTTGATCAACCTTCCTCCATGGTTTGAATTTGATTGAATTTCTGTTGGATTCCATTTCATTGACAACTTTGGGATTGGATGTCCACTCTTCATGGCCAAGAGACAACACTAGATGAGCAACCACTGAAGAGAGTGAGAGCAAACGCTACTGAAGTTCAGACTTCTTGTATTGAGTATTTGGGGCAAGCAAGCCAGAAATTTCACTCAAATTGCCCTCTACAGTATAAAACAACACATACAGAAAAGCAACTAGATTCTCTCATTTCTACTAGTACCGTGCGACTAATTTGGTATTTATCTCCCACCACAATTTAGCTTACATGTAAGCTTACGTAGTTTTCATATTTTTTCCGATATCGAATGCATTGTTTACTTCAGCGTTTCGCAAATTTAATGACTTGTAAATTGGCAAATTACGTGAAATATACGACATCTCAAACTCAGTCAAGTTCATCGCTGTTCTACAAAGTGATGCAGGCTGCGACAATTTACGTTGGACTTCAAAAGAGATTTAAAATGCAAATGTATAACCAGTGAAAATTGTACCATCAAATCGATCCACCTTTCGTGACTTTTCGCGTTCCTAGATATTACCATAAAATACGCTTATTTACTGACCGCCTAGTCCGACGTATCATGCTATACAGTACTTTAACTATTCCTTTTATGAGACGTAGCCAAAAAAAAAACGAACGAAATAAGTCTAATTCATCTGAAATCGAACACAGAATGGAACATTCAACAAACATAGCTTCACAAGGGAGAATTCACAACACATGATTAATCGGCAAGCACTGACAAACCTTTTCACTGGTCTTTAAGTGCGACCCCAAATGCCTGTCATCCATTGCGCCTTTAGTTGAATTAAGTGGTCACTATTGTTCAATAAAATCAATAAAATCAATAAAATCCTCGCGAAAAAAAAGTGTCAAAAAGTGCCGGCTACTACAGCGTCAGCGAAGGAAGCTTCCGAAAACATTACAAGTTCCGCTAGCGCAAGGAATTGTGGTATCTAGTGCCAACTCGCTCTCTTGATAAATTTGTTGTGACGTCATAAAATGCTTCTTTTGGCTTTGTGTTTACCATGTTTACAGGGGAAAATCTGTCCGCGTTCGCGGGCAAACAGGACACCAAATGAAATGTTTCCACGAAAATCAGAGTTCTGCTTGCAGACATGTGAGTCAGCGAGAAAATATGCAACAAATAATAAAACATTTTTTTTTCCTTTTTTAACATGATTATCGGATAGGATAGTAACTCAAAATACATAGATATTCCAGGCGTTTGATGAGCTCGGCCGCGCGTATTTTTTTCAGACACTGAATTTAGAACCTACTGATATATAAATTAGCTTGCGTTCTTCGAACTTGAACACACTGACTGTAAATGATATCAGTTCGCTAGACCAAATAGAATTCAGAAATACTTGAGTCCTACGCTGAGGCCAAAGCCGTTGACAGCCGTCAGAGTTAAAAGTGGTCACCCAAAAATTGAAAGTAACTTCTTCAAATTTTTTCCTTCAGTACCACGTTATCTTGTGACGCGGTCGTCAGAGAGGAAAGGTTTCGCGTTGAAAACATGCGTGTTGAATGTTGGGCTCGTATTTTTTCTGTTTTGGTTTCCGAGTTGGGTCTCGAACATGCGGAAATTCGTGTGTTGATGTTGCGCCGTGGTGAAATAAATGGTATTTTAACTTTAGCTTCTCTACTGACGCGACTGCGGGGAAACTCGGCAATTGTGCGAAAGAAAACTTACAAGAACGTGCAAGAGCGAGATTTTTCTCTCATGCGCTGCTTATCAAGATTTCATGGCTTACAAATTCCCGGCTGGAATTAAATGCTCATCATCTTAACGTGAGAGCCGGGCGTGAGAGGTCTTTGTACAAAAGCTAAACCCTGCTCTTCAATTGACGGGCGGTAGTGACACGTAAGGTCTCCGAACTGCTGTCCCCCTGGGGGAACTCCCAGATAAAAAAAGACTCTGGTGCTCGTTGTACCTTTTTAGGCTTAAAAATACAGTTTTGGTACCTCATGGGTGTTCAGCCTCAAAAGGTCCACAGTGGGAACTTTTGTGGTGCCTTATAGGGTATTAAGTCGAAAAAAAATATGACTGGGGATTAGTTGTTGCTTTAGAATTGGTACCTACAAGGGCTAAAAACAATTTCAAGCCACGCCCACAGAACAGGATCTTGGCGCCTCTTAGGGGTTCTTTTCAAAATTTCCGACGAGCACGGTGTGTCCCCCGGGCTGTTTCCTATGCAATTGTCATAAAGCAAGTGTTATCCACTTTCCCGCAAAGAAACAGGTTTAGACTTCAACATTTTTATTACTAAGCTTATGACCTAAAATGGTTACAAATTTCTTTATGAAAGATACTAAATTGACGTCGAGCCAAAAGCGTTTCAGTATCAAGTGCGAGTAAAAAATAAATTACATCTCTTGGCAAGCACGTTTCTACGCATTGTGCTTGCCCTGCTCGTTTTTAAATTTTGTTAAATAACATATGAACAACGTTTAAACTCTTAACCATAAAACTTGTCCTGTACAGTACAAGATTTTTAAATATTATTCCAAAACACGATTGATGAAAAAAATTGGCTAAAAAACATGAGTGGGCAATATACAAAACTAAGAATTCTTCAATTAAAAACTGTCAACAGTTATTATGAAAATAATTTAACGCCTCAAAACGGCTGTACCTTTTTTCTTTCAAAATTCAAAATAAACGACCTAATAATTGGCTATAGAATCTTTTGAATATATTTTTTTGTGTGTTCCAAGTTAAAACCAGATATAAAACATCTATACCGTTTTTACAAGGTTACCCTTTAAAACCGACAACATTTTCGCTGGAAATATATCAAACTCTTCGAGTCTGCAATCTGTTGATTCAAAAACCCCTCAATTTTTTAAACACTCTGTCTACTTTCTTCTGACGTTTTCTCCTGCTTTTTATACCGAAACATTATAAAATGAGATCGGGTTGCCAATGGCTTTTGTGACAGCAACAGAAAGATTCAGAACGAAACAGCTCTCAACATGCTTGCATGTGATTTCATTCAATTTAAACAAAACAAGAGAATTGCGCGAAAAATTGCGTTGCCAAATTGATTATAACGCAACCGAATACCTGAGAAAAAGACTGATTTTTTGGTAAATTTGGCACAGAAAAGAAAGTTTCATACAAAACTGGCATCGGAAACCCGCTCTCTAGTGGAGCAGCAACACAACTGAGTGTTTGAGTCCGCCAAATAGTGGCAAAAAACCAAGGGTTTTCATGTTATATAGAGAATATCTATTTAGGAAGGACTATTTTTTTGCATCGGTTTTTGTAACCTTCGTTGTAAACTGCTAGAACAAAGGTGCACTTTCTTTGCAGAATCATGAATTGTTAAGTTTGCAGTTAGCGCTATATCAAAGTTCAGATTCCATTTTTAGTTCTTCAAGCTCGTTCATCATCTCCTTGATCTCTCGTTGCAAAGCGATATGAAAGTCCGGATCGGGCGGTGAGCCACAGGCGTATCTGCCGTCTTGATCATCTTCGTCCTCATCTTCAGAGCAGTTCTCGGAATGTAGGTACGAGTTTTCAGGTGAATCATCGCACGCCTCCATCCTGTTGCCGAGGTAAACCTGCTCTAAATCGTCCTCAGAGTACATGCCGTCTGTTATACTCCCCAGTTCAGACCCGCGAGTCGTCAGGGTCGGCGCATAGGATCCCACTGGATGCTGGTCCAAGCTCTCGGGATAAGGCTCCCGAGGAGGGCGTGGAAATCGGCCCTTGAAGATGTCTGGATCAAGGTCAGTAGCGTCTGAAAATTCGGAGTACCGAGAATCCATTGAGTACCTCGAGGCGGATTTACCCTTCGGGTTAAGATATTCCATGGGTTTTTTAGGAACATGAGGGACGTCCGGGTATCCATCTTCTGATTCGGAGCATTTATAGTTCCTTGGTCTCTTGGGAACTTCGGGTACATCAAGGGACCCCTGCGAGGATCTAAAACTAGACGGCCTCTGCGGCACTTCAGGGGCAAATGAGGCACACGCCGAGGCACCATCGAAGCTGCCAGAATGTTCCTTGGACAAGGGAGTTCTCGGTACCAAGTCAGCTGGGATATCCGTGTAATCCCACTGATACCCAGGGAGGTTGTTATCTGATAACGAATTCAGCGTCTTCATGGTGCCAAAGTCTTTGCGGGCCTTCTCGCGCCTGCGCCATGAGTCCTCTGCGTCATAACCTGGAGGCATGCCGAGGTCGTCCACGTTGTAACCATGGATTTCCCTCGGAGGAGGTGTGGGGGGCTCAGGAGATGCCACCTCTGAGCCTACCACGGGTGGGGAGACTTTAAGAACCGCAGGCTTGGCAGCTTCATCTTGAGCGCGCATGTCTCGTCTTCTCTTTGCTCGCCGTCGAAGGAAAATTACAACGAGGAATACAATCAGCAAAAGAACAGCCAGCACCACAGCAATACCAATGATTTCAGTTTGTCCCAGTGGCCAGCCGCGTCGGGCTTCAACATCAGCCAACACCTGTTCGCAAAGCCTTCCTCCATGTGTGCTGGTGGAACAGTTGCATACGAAGCTTCCCGGTGTGTTTACACAAAAGCCTCCGTTTTGACAAGGCGAGCTGGCGCACTCATCCACATCTTGGGAACAGTCGGGACCCGTGTAACCTGGCGAGCACACACAGATGGCTGACCCGTCCTTCTTCCCTTGACATGAACCTCCGTTCTTGCATGGCCAGCGATTGCAGTGAAATCCTTCGTCGCAATTCTTTCCGGAAAATCCAGCGATGCAGTGACACCTGTAGTCATCGCCTTCATTTGTGCAATTCGCGTTGTTTGCACACGGGTTGGACGTGCAGGGCCTGGTGTCTTGCTCGCACGTATCTCCCTTGAATCCCTCTGGACAATCGCAGGTAAAGCCATCAACCCTGCAGGTTCCGCCGTTTAGGCATGGAGCGCTTGCGCAAAAGCTGTTGTCGATGTCGCCTTGACAACCTGGTGTTGTGTTGTATGGTTCGGCGGCAACGTGGCTGTTTGAGCCAGACATGGGAAGATCCTCGCCATTCAGGTTCAAGTTCTGCAAGCAACCTTTGAAACCATTCTCCACTAATAGATCTGCAGAGCCACAAAATAAGGTCATTTTAATTAGGCACACTATCATTCATGTCCGAAAAGTAATAGTCTTTCTTTTGGGGTGCTGAACTTCTTAATGAAACTCTTAATATTTTTCTGAAGTTTCAAGAACTACTACTCGTTGCAAAGGCGGTGCTAAAGATGTCCAGTACAATGAGTAAAATAAGTAATTCTTGAAAAAACCGACAGAGTGGACACCACACACGTTCATTTACCTCCAGTTTACAACGTAAATGAAAAATTGTTATAGTGTAGGAATACAAGACCATAGCTGGAAACATTTCACCCAGAATAACAATAGAGGCTAATCTAGCTGAGTGGCTGATCTGACAAATTAAAGGAAAAAAACTGCAGTCGATATAAATTGAGAAATAATGACAACACACAAGGCTACAGGGAAAACAATAAAAAAGAAATGAAACTATTGTTTAAATGAAATTAAATAGGGATATTTCAAATTAAAAAGCGACAAAGAAGACAAAGATGCAATATAAATGTATGATTAATGCAACTTTGTATTTAATTTCTATTTAAAGAAACGCATCCCAAATCAACATATAATTACTCCTTGCAAAACCATTGTAAACCAGTTATATTTCTGTACTCGTGTTGTCATAGCCTTAGAAACCGACTTGCTGATTTGCAAGTTGTTCAGGCCATATAGACCTTCTTAGCATGGGCGATTTGTTTTCCATTGCAGACCACGTGATATTATCTATTAAGAGTGGTTCTCTTATCCTTCAAAAAAATATTCCTGCATACACACGACTATTTGAAAATTTGAAAGCACGAATTCTCAAGAGTATCATCACATGGTCTGAAATGGGGCAACAAACCGCTTACACGAACAAAGTCTATTAAAACCATTTAGTAAATAGACACAATAATTTTCGTTACCTATATCCCTTCGCCTGGTCTTGGAGCTCACAACTTTGGCGCCAAAATAAATGGCGTTGTCATCCAGATTCAAGATTCTCATTTTTCCTGGAGACTTGTTCCAGGCGCGATGACGTCCTTGATCCAGGATGAGGGTGGCGTGGTTACCCTGCCGCATGACTGTCACGTGATGCCATTTCTCATCATCCACTTGCGCCCAGTCTAGGCTCACCACCCCGGCTCCGCTGCCGAAATCGAAGCGTAACTGCAGGTGACCGTTCACAATCTGGAACGAGAAAGGTGGTGTTAAAATAAAAGAAACGGCCGTAGTTTCCTTTTATACAGTAACGTCAGGTGATTTAACTGTCTGTTAAAATCAGTAAGCATGGAACAAACCTCCAGGATGCTGTAGTCATACTGTCCAGCGGCGAACACTAGTGTTCCTTGGGGTTCGGCGGTCCTGAGAGCGAGGCTGATGGAGCGGGAGGGCTCATTAAATGATTCTTTTAATCGATAACGGATGTACGAATCACCACCGAATGTCATGGCTTTGTTACCTGATAAACAAGAAAATATCAGACAAGTCTGTTAGTCTCTAGCTTTCCTCCTTTACCTACTCGTTCTCATCTACTCTTGAGGGAATGTGGTTTTTACTAAAGACAGGTTTCCTAAAATAACTACACTGCTTGATATTGAGGGTTGTTTTCACTGGCGTATAAACATAAACATCCAGTAAGAGTACTGGAACGCAGTAAGATGCTGATAATTAGCGTTTTTTGTTACGAAAGTCCGCGTATATTGCTTATGCGTATGCGCTAGCCTGGTGAAAACCAGCCTTTAGTATTTCGACTCGGACAAAGTTGGTTTTGATTGTCTGGTTGGACTTCAAGCGAAACAAAACACCTCTTTCGCTTGATCACACAGTTATTTGCATTCATGTGATTGATTAGGCACGATTATATGAAGTGCTTTCAAACAAACTTTACTGAAAAGTAAACACGTGAAAAAGTTAAACTCCATAAAACAAAACTAAAACATGAATCGTGGGAAGAAGAGTGTACTACATACCTGTGATACATAACCTGTCCTCACAGCCCTGCTTCTCTAAAACGCATTTAGATGAATCCACGCACTTGCACTGAAATCCTTGCGAAAAGTCTGTGCATTTGTAACCAGCCGGGCAGGGATTGGTCGCGCATTTTCCACCAGTACTTCCACAGCCTAGAACAGAGCGGAGCGTGATTAATACAACGAAACGTACGGAGAAATCGACATACCCAGTCTCACGCATCAATACGGCCACACAAAACTTTTTTATAAATAACTCAAATAAATCATTTAAAGTGTCGAAGTGTTTAGTACGGCTGTACTAATTGGGGACACTGAAAGAAGCAAACAAATATTGTAAATTAAACAGAAACTTGTTAAAAACCCCAACTGGCGGGAGACTGACCAGTTGGCTATTTACAAAGCGTGGAGGAGTTGAATCGGAGACCACCAAAGACAAATCCATTTAATGACAGGGAGGAGGATTTGAACCCGGGACCTCCGGATTACAAATCCAGCGACCCAACCACTGGGCCACGCCACCTCCACAAATATGCCGAAGAGATTGAACATACGGTGAGAAAAGCTTCAAAACGTTGTCGCTAACAGTATCAATAAGCATGTAATAAGACGCTGTTAAACATTGGTCATCTGAAACGTGCAAGGGGAGCCATGGGAACAAAAAAACTCGAGCAAGTGTTTTCTACCATCTAAGTCTTGTGTTTGATTCTTGTACAAGCTATTGCCCACCTAAAAATCAGGTGGAACCTAGAGGTGAGAAAAAAATTTCATGCCCCAGATAATTTCCTAACCCTCCCCCTACTCTCAAAACAATGGCCTCTCCCTGACAAAAAGTTTCACGTAGTGTAAATACCGCGCGTTACTTACAACAGGCACGGTCACAGACAAACGAGTCCTTCAGTGTTCGCTTACCTATGTCACGGTCACACATGCAAGCGTGACTCCTAGAATGCTCGTATGATATGAACGTGGTCCGTTCAGACATGATCCGTATTTGCTTGTTCTGTGGTTTGAAGACTGTCTGGCATTCATAATTTTCCGGGCAGTGCATCAGATGGCACTGGCTCACTCCAATGTACCCCACCTTCACTCCTACTTTTCTTTGAAAGTCACCGCGGGACGAGTTCAGCTTGTGTGAGACGTGCTGGGACGCAAAGAAGCCCTATCGAAAAAAAGGCGCCAAATGAGTTGCTAGTAGCTATAATGGCTAACGCAGCAGTCGACTGTGAACAAATTGAACAGGGAAACAAGAGTGGTTTTCGGGAAATAATTCTCGTATTTCCGATGAATCTTCGATTTTCACTGAACAACCACTGAAATAAGACTTAAGCTTTCCTATGGAAGGCCGAGTAAATAGGAACCTACCTTGACACGCTTCATGACCGCAAATACAACATCCAAACTGCTTTCTGAGGACTGAAGGTTCCATATATGGACATTAACAGCGGGAACATTCAGTAGCACTCCCAGGTAATCTCGGAAAATTGCCAGGTTATTTTCAACGAAAGTTCCAGGCCCTAGATCCGACAGACGGAGGGTGAGAGAGTGAGTCAAGATGTCTTCAGTAATATCAGACACGAGAATTTCCACTGGAGCGTACGTGAAGTACTTTCCATCGGTGACGCTGACATTTAGCCGGTAGATTTGGCTTGGGACGTTTGAAAAAGCACTTATAACTCCATCCGTTGTTATGGTGAAAGGGCTACCTGCACGAGGCGCAACAATTGAATAACTGAGAAGGTCCCCATCACTATCGCTCCCTTTGACGCTCCCAATGACACCCCCATTGAATTGTGAGCCGTACAACTTGAGGTACACGGTCAGCGGTTCAACGGCAGGAGGATGCGTAACGCCTTCCACGACTGAGATAGTAACAGTCTTGTCAGTGTATTTTGGTGGTTCGCCGCTGTCGAAGACGCGGATCTTAAATTTGTGTTCACCGTCTCTATGATCCAAAGGACCAACCTTTGTTATAATTCCATTCTTCTGGAGTCTAAACTTCGTCTCGTCTCCTTGTATTCTCCTGAAAGTAAATGGACCTCCGTTACCATGCCCATCTCGGTCGTGCGGCCGTAAGAAGATGACAGTCTTCCCCACTGGCGCTGTCTCGCTTATGGACACCGTGAAGTTAGTGTTGCTAAACTCCGGCGGGTTATCATTCAAGTCGTTGATGGTCACGTGAACTTTGGTTTCAGAGGACAGCGGCGGTACACCTTGATCTTGAGCCCGTACTGTCATGGAATACTTGGACACTGCTTCGTGGTCCACAAGCCCATCAACGGTGATGATTCCACTCAGAGGGTCGACTTTAAACTTACCAGCCTCGTTACCCTTCACGATTGAATACTGAATGTCACGGTTAGGACCACTGTCCAGGTCAGTGGCGAAAACTTGGAGAACGAACGTGTCCGAAGGAGAGTTTTCGTCCACTTTGGCGGTGTACAGGTCCCATCCAAACTTGGGCGCGTGGTCATTAGCATCAGTCACTATCACCTTCAATGACGCGGTTGTCGTGAGAACTGGTGGACCAACATCACTGGCTTGAATTGTCAGCGAATAGGTCTTCCTTATCTCGAAATCAAGGCTGCCTTGTAGGGTAACAACTCCAGTTTTCTTGTCAATCTTGAACATGTCTGAATCTGGGCCTTGTAGGATCTCGTAGGAGATCTCTTCTTGTGCAGCCTCCCTGCTGATGGCGATCATAGTTGTTATATTCGCTCCAATAGCAGCATCTTCGCTGACATTTGCCTTGAAACTAGAGTCCGTGAACTCCGGTGGCACGTCGTTTATGTTCAAGACCTGAATCACAACAGCGCATGAGCCAGATTTGGAGGGAACGCCCGCGTCCTTAGCCTGCACAGTCAGCATATACGTCGCCTGGTCTTCTCTGTTTAGGGCCTTCTTCAGAGATATTACACCGGTTTCAGATTCAATACTAAATGTATTGCCTACTGTGTCCAACAAAGAATAAGAGATCTTTCTGTTCTTTCCAATGTCGACATCATCTGCTCTGACTTGAAGCAACACCTTGTTAATTCGCGCGTCCTCGTACACAGACTTCCTGTACTCTAACTGCGTGAAAAACGGCGCGTTGTCGTTGATGTCTTCCAGCAGGACTGTGACATTGCTGAAACACGCCTGTCCTCCGCGGTCTTCCGCTGACACCATGAAGTTAAACATATCTTGAGCCTCGCGGTCTAATGACGTCGCCGTTACTAGGCGTCCTAACGAGAGAATGATTGCAATAAGGAAGCTTTACAATAGTACCTCTGTGTTTTCAGTAGTTAACTTTCAAAACGCAGAAGAACGAATACGTGTACTTGTAGCCAAAGTTAATCATTGTGTTCAAGAAACGGATAAGCTACTCTTTTTAGATGAAGAAAGGGAATCTGGACAAGGAGTAAGATTTTAACGAAGACCAATGCTAATTACACCTATCAGGTCAATCTAACAGGACACAAGACAAACAAACAGTTAGAAAGAAGAGCAAAAGATGGAAAACGGAACGTGGCAAACTCTGGGCCAAACCTGTGCTCTGTGAACTATGTATGTAATCACGCTAAGAAATTAGTTTATTAACTTAATTAGAATACCGAAAATCAGTCACCTATTTTATTGACACTGCGAAATGTAACGTAGCCATAGGACAACGCACCACATAGCACGAGGTGGCGTGACAGCGTGACTTACCTGTTCCATTCTCAATAGTGAAGACTCCTATTCCCTGACCAAACACGGAGTATCTCAACTTTCCATCATCGTCAGCGTCTGGATCAGTGGCCTCGACTACAAGCACTTCGGTACCAGGTGCCACGTCCTCGCTAAGATGAACAATGGTGATGGACTGGGTACAAACTGGAGGATTGTCATTGGCATCTAGTACTGTGATGTTCAAAGTGGCGAAGCTGGTGTACAGACCGTCAGACGCACTCACGTTCAGCTTATACGACGATACAGTCTCGCGATCTAGCGAAGTGTGCACAAAAACTTTGCCCGTTTTTTGCTCGATTGCAAACTTAGTTTGAGGATCACCAGACATGATAAAGAAGTATATGTCAGAGTCCAAGTCTTGATCCCTCGCCAACAGTGTGCCAACTTCTTGTCCTATCAAGGCGTCTTCACGAACGAAAAACTCAAAGATTTCCTGGGAAAACTTCGGTGGAGAATCGTTCACATCCAGCACGGTCACGTGAACAGCGGTATGACCCGACAGCTGAGTGACCTCGCCTCTATCAGTGGCGCGGACGCTCAGGACAAGGAAGTCCGAGAGTTCGCGATTGAGTGGCGCCGCTGTTGTAATCCAACCAGTATGTTTGTCAATAGCAAAGAACATGGATTCTCTCCTGTTGACGTGTGTGAAATCGTACAGAATCTGCCCATTGTTTGCGTCGTCTAAATCCTCGGCAAACACTCTCAGAACTTTGGATCCAACCTTGATATTCTCAGGTAAACTAACCCTGTATGGATTGGCCACGAAATGCGGCTTGTTATCATTTACATCTGTGACTGACACGATAACCACAGTGCGCGCGACTTGAGAGATGGCAGAAGCATTGGCCTCGATGACAAGAACGTATCTCTTCAAAGTCTCGTAATCCAAAGAAGATTTCAGTGTGATCTGACCGCTAGCGTCAATAATAAACTTCTCTCCCCGCGACGAGGGTGAATTTCCAGGAATAATCTTTAAACCGACGTGCGGACGAGCGCTGCCTGGAAACGAGGTGCGCACTGTTGCCACCACAGAGTTGACGTTGGCGTCTTCAGGTACACTGACTCGATACTCCGCCTTTTCAAACTGCAAAATCTTCGCGTTCTTGCTTAGAACGTTAACAGAAACAGACACCATGTTCCGAAGCTGTGGATTGCCGCCGTCCTTCACCAGGACATGGAACATGTAGGTCTTCTCTTCAGGCTGCTGAGTTATTTTGATAAACCCTGAGTCTGCCTCGATTTCAAACACCGGCGGGGTCTGATGGCCAAGAATGACGTAAGTCAGCACACTGTTACTTCCGGTGTCTGCATCGTTCGCTGACGTCATTAGGATATCAGTGCCGACTGGGGTTGCACGCTGAACAGTTACCTCGTATCGCGGGAGCTCGAACTTTGGTTGGTTGTCGTTCTCGTCTAAGATTTGAACCTGTTGACAAAGTGAGAGACGTTTTAATAAACAACTTAGCGATAACGACATGCTTTGCGCAACCTTCAATTGCTAAGTCAGTTTTGGAAATGCCCTTCGACAACAACAGGAATTGCTTCCTTACAGGAGCTACGCCACGGATTGCGCATCCTGAAAAGTTTAGCCCAAATTTCGTCGTAAGTTTGTCATTTGTAATCAATGTCAGTCTTCTCCATCTTTAACCATCCTTGTTCGTTTATGGTTTATTATTATCTCTTAAGTCCTTTTCTATCTGAGTAAATTATTTTTCAGATTTCCCTCAATTTAAAGGTAATCTTGTACGTGGCCAAAATAACCCAAAATGACGTGACTGAGCTCTTTTAAGACAATAGCAAACTGAGCTTAACAAAAAAAGAATTCAAGGATAAGTGGTTTTAGAAATAGCATTATAAGGCAAGTATAGCATACCTCCACTGTACAGAATCCAAACCTTCCACCTCCGTCAGTGGCCCGGATAGGAACAGACGTGAAGGCGTGGGACGAGTTTTCGCGATCAAAGGTGAGCCTGCTGTATATCATCCCTGTTTCAGCGTCCACGCTGAACTTTTTCGCGGCCTCGAGATCGTCAACAGAATATCGCACACGCGCGAAGTTACCAGAGTCTTTATCAGTAGCGGTAACCATGGTGACAAACGTGCCAGGAGGGTAATTCTCGTAGAAATTTACAGTGTATATCTGTTGATCAAACACTGGGCTGTGATCATTGGTGTCTCCGATCACGACCCGAACGCTGGTCCGCGCAATCGATTTACCATCGGTGACTTCAACACCAAGGTCATAAACCTTGCCTCGTTCAATGCCAGCTTGTCTGGAGATGGTCAGAACGCCTGATCTGGGATCCAAGTCAAAGTATTCCTTACCTTGTCCAGAGCTGATCGAATAACGCAATTTTCTGACGTCGTTTTCATCTGGGTCAGTGGCTACGACACGCGTGACGAAGAACCCAGGCCCTGCACTGCCAGATATGGACGTGGCGTAGCTTTCTTGTTTTAACTGGGGCGGATTATCATTAGCGTCTACGACCACAATGCGCACGCGTGCCTCGCCAGTCAGCGGTGGACTCCCACCATCGGTCACGATGACTTTCAGTTCGTGCACCACATTTGTCTCGTAATCCAGTTCCTTGGCGACTGAAATCTCACTTTTATCCTGACTGATAATGAAGAACTCGCTAGTTTTGCTGATGTTGTAGTTCGTGTTCAAGTTCTCCAGTCGGTACGTCATCGCCTTGTTAACTCCCGAGTCTCCATCAAAAGCTTTTACGGAGATGACCGACGTGCCAATCGGAACAGCTTCGGAGATCATCGCCAGGTAAAGTGATTGGTTGAATACTGGCGCAATATCATTGACATCTGTGACGTCAATATCGACGTATATTTCTTCGTAAGATGTCGTCTTTGCGTCAGTTGCGCGGACAAGAAGTTGGTAACTAGTTTGAGTCTCGTAGTCAAGACGAGATTCCACCGTCAAGACCCCTGGTAAGATTAAAAAAAAAAACAAATTAAAAGGTTTGAAAATATTGCTTGATATGATGGGCTGTTAACCAGGAAAGAACACTACCGGGCATTTTCTGATCTTCATCGCCGCGTTTGCCACAGATTTCATGTTTTTGGCTTCAAGTTTAACTGGCTGATAATATTTATGCGGGCCATGGTCGTCTCACTAACAGCTTAAGTTTAAGTTTTAGGCCAGTCATCAGAGCATTTACCTGTTTTCAAATCGATGGCGAACTGATTCAGAGGATCCCCTTGCACGATTGTATAAAATATGCCAGCGCCTCCCGGACTCCTAGCTTGTACTCGACTGACTTCCTGTCCAACTTTGACATCCTCCCGCAGTACTCTACCATAGGACAACTGGTCAAATATCGGAGTCTCTTTATCCACCACTTTGATCTTCACAATCGCTTTAGTGCTCAACCGCACCAGGCCTCTATCGTGCGCTTCGATTTCAAGGGTAAAGACCTTGGGAACGACTACGTAATCCAACAGTCTCGCGACTCTGATTTTTCCGGTGGTATGCTCCAATCTGAAGAGCCCGTCACCACCCGCCTTGAGTAAATATCTGCATGAGAAAAGAAAGCACAAAGCAAATAAGTATATTAGCAAACGAAGTGGATACTGTTTGTTCAAAATATTCCTCATAGAAACCAAATATGGGCTAAGAAGCAAAATGTATAAATAGTCAAAAGTTTCAAAAGCATAGTACATGTAGATATTAAAATAGCACAAAAAAAATATCGAAGTAATATTAGCTGGCAAATTAGTCAAAGTTCTTATTTCTTGCGCGACGTTAGCCGTAATGGAGGATTCACACAATTATCTTCGACTCTTTTCAAAACCCACTCTGTAAGTTACCTTAAGCCTCTTTCTCAAAGCGAGTCTTGGTGCCCATCCTTTCATGTGAAAATGAGATTTCATTCACATGAAAATTACACTCATTTTCATATGAATGGTTGAGTACCAGGCCTCGCTTGGATAGATAGGCTTAGGGCAACTCGGAAATGGGCTATTGCTGGTATAAGGCAAATAAAGACATGTGGTAGTTGTTGTTAAATAAGGCCCGGAATTCGTCCTAGTCATGTTCACATAGACTCGTTTAAGCGTCACATCAGAGCGCGTAAATAAACACTTATACCAAATCACATACTTGATTTCGCCATTGTTGCTGATGTCATCATCATGTGCCTCGACCTTTCCGACAGTGGCCCCGACGTCTACGCTTTTCTTCACGACGAAGAAGTAGGACTCCTCGGTGAACTTCGGCGCATTGTCATTCACGTCATCAACTTCTACTAGCACCACGCTCTGAGCAACTCTCGGCATCGGTTTTCCACTGTCCTTAGCTTGTACGACGATTTCATATCGATCTACAGTCTCACGGTCAAATTCTCTGCCAGACAAGGTAGATACAATACCCGTGCTTTCGGAAATGACGAAGAAATCCGACGGAGTAACGATTGAGTAGGTAATGGTCTCCCCGATTGAATAACCGACTGCACGAACTTCAGCGATGTCGCTTGCTGAGCTGACTCCTTCCAGAACAGAGGTGTTGTATCTGCCCTGACTGAACTTCAAGTCGCTGACAGGCAGAGGCTTACAGTCGATGTCGACAGTGGCTTGATCTGTGAAGTTACCGTCGGAAACAGAAACCGTAAGGTAATATACAGCTTCGTGTAGGAGAGACGCGTTTTTCACGGTTATAACACCAAGTGTTGGAGAAATATCGAACATCTGAGACACAGGTGCGGAGACAGATTGTGAAACGATAGAATAAGTTAGATTTGTGAGAGGCAAGGTATCTCCATCAGTCGCGCTGATTCTGACGACCTCAGTGCCCGGGAAAGTTGGTAAGTACAAAATCGCAGAGAAGACAGGATAAACAAACACAGGTGGGAGGTCGTTCACGTCCTCTACAAAAACTTCAACATCAGTGAAAGCAGCAAGGCTCGGTTCTCCATCGTCAGAAACTTTGACTTTGAACTTGTAGAAGGCTGTTGATTCGAAATCCAACGCCTGCAAATTAAGAAAAGAAAAGTGTATGGATGTTCAATAACGGTCGCGTCAGAGATCTAACCAAAACGCGGTGGCTGTACAATAAATTCTGCAACTGCCTACAAGGAATACAGTAAAAAACCAACGTATAACAACCTAGGTTTTTTTAAGTTAGGCTCCATAGGTTCCTATATAAATGATGTTTACTGTGAAATTAGCTACCTAGGCTCTTAATCAGGTTGTTAATTTTTGTTTAAAAAAACAACTTGTGCTCATGGATGTGGCCTTTATATTACAGCATTGTGGTGTTAAAACACTGCCACAGTTCTCGCTAGTTTTTGTTACCTGTTGTTTTATCGCATGTGATAAACTGTATTATATTTGAAAAAACTCATGTTTTGAAAATAAGAAGCTGTATTGCGATTTTAGCCTAGAATGGTTCTTATGTGACCGGTGCTTAACAGGGAGATTTTAGGCTAACAGGTTCTTAAATTTTAAGTTCTTACACGCTGGTCTTTACTGTATGCTCTTTACCTCCGTTGTGAGTAATGCCCCAGTTTGAGAATCGATCGTAAACGCCGTACATCC